TGTAATGCATGTGAAAACAAACTGCCACAGGGTTTGAAAGAAGCCTTGAAAGTTCTGGCAAACTGGGAAAGTTAGAGCCTTCCAAGGAGAAAAACAACCTTCTGTACAGGACAGGAGAAACAGTCTGTGTCCTCAAGGCGCACAAACCCTGTGGGAAGGGGCCAGCCTGACCCACAACGTCTGACAACTCTAGAGGAAAGGGAGCAGTAGGAGGAGAAAGCAAAACCAAAAGAAAAATAACCTCTCTTCTTTTAATTCCTTCTCTGAGTAAATATACGACGTCTTCTCCCTCGCAGTCTGTAGCTTTGAAGCCTTTTGTCCAATTGAGAAGGATACCCTAAAAAGCAAGAAAATAGGTTATCAAGTTGCTAGACACAGATGTTATGCTGTACACTTGACATTTCAAATCTTTTAGTGTGAGATCTTACAGAAAAGCAATATCCCTCCAATATGTGGAATTTGCATCTAACATTACTAATCACGTTTAGTCTCCAAATCTCCAGCAAGATGCAATAAACTCAAAACCAAAAAAAAAAGTGTGATAGAAAGTAAGTCTTTCATCAAAAAAGCAGCCAAGTAGACAGGAAATTATTAACAGCTGCACAGGTGGGGCTGGTGTAGATATGTGGCAGTGAAAAAGTTACATACTCAAGGGAAAAGAACAAGAGTACCCCTGTCAGGGACATGCTGCAGGCCACACTGTCACCCTCGGGGTGACACAGCCCACAGACCCTGGTCCATCCACGCCGTCTGGTGCGACGAGCTGAGAACAGGCACTGCCAGTGGGGATGGACTTTTACCTACTGCCTGCAAACCCAGGGAAGTATCACAGCCCAGCAGGTTTACACAGTTGGAAAAAATGTCATGCCTTAAAAAAGGGCTATCACCACCACAGAAAATGCAAATGTTCTTGTCTGTCACAGTCATAGGCTGAGTAACATCTGCATTAATACCCTTAGAGGAACTATTTGTAGGAGTAGTTGTACTGGTCAGGGTCAGAGCATGAACATTCCCCTTGTACAACCTTCCTGTGTCACGTGGAAGGCAGAGAAACCAGTCCTGGCATAAGTACACAAGCAGATTCAAAAGATCCTAAGGAACTTACAGCATCCAGACTGGTCTGCTTGCAAGGGAAGGAAAAGGTGAAGCCAAGAGGAAGACGTGCACCTTTTATGCCCATATAATCCAGGAAGTCAGAAATGCAGGTAACAATGTGATCAAACAGCTTTAAAGAGAAGAGTGATAATAATTTGAATTTGTACATGTCACATGCTGTTAAGAAGGTATTTAAAAAGCAGCTGTGCAGCCAAAGAGAAACAGGAATACCTCTTCTCCCGTTCCCTGCATCACCTCTATGGGAATGGCATAGATCTTGTTGTGCATCTCAACTGTTCTCCTTTTACCACTGCGGATTTTCACCAGCAAAACTCTAAAGTTTGTCCCTCCAAGGTCAAGTGCCAAAAAGTCTCCATTCTCTATAAAAGAACATGTGTGTATATTTAAAGAACCACAAGCAAAACCTAAAAAAGCGCTTTTCCCAGAGAGTACTTTGACAGAAAATCTCTTAAAAACTCAGCTGAGATCTTCAAAGGAGGATTTCAGGTGCTGTTCTGTTTATTCCCACCCCTTTTTTCTTGTTTCGGTTTTGTTTTGTTTCAAAGGAGA